GAAACAAAACCCCACATTACGACGAATATAAAACCTACATATCGACGCAACAAACATTAACAAGGACGAAACTAAGACCCACACAACGATACATCTAAAAACCCACAAAACGACACAACAAGCCCTACATAACGACGAAACAAAAATCCACTTAACGACGAAACATGAAAGCATTGACTCACACGAAGACTGGGGAGGTTTAGTAAGTTTTATTAAGTAACCCACGACTGTCTACAAATGATACGAAATACTAAGTGTATGATGCATCTCACACCTGGCGTGTCCTTCAACAAATGTGTCCTACACCAGGTGTGTCCTACACAGGGTATATCCTACACCAGGTGTCCTACACCAGGTGTGTCCTACACCATGTGATAGTCTACACCAGGTGTGTCCTACACCAGGTGTGTCCTACACAGGGTATATCCTACACCAGGTGTCCTACACCAGGTGTGTCCTACACCAGGTGTGTCCTACACCAGGTGTGTCCAACACCAGGTGTGTCCTACACCAGGTGTTCTACACCAGGTGTTCTACGCCAGGTGTGTCCTACACGAGGTGTCCTACACCAGGTGTGTCCTACACCAGGTGATAGTCTACACCAGGTGTGTCCTACAAAGGTGTATTCTACACCAGGTGCTAGTCTACACCAGGTACACTCTACACCAAGTGCTAGTCTACTCAACCAACCCTGATACCAAATGAATACAAATAGAGGTAGACTAGATTAATGCGCTAGACATTAAAATGGCTTTCATACAATGTGATCGCAACCTCACTGTCATAAATCGACATTCATTCTAATAGAAGAAAAAACCTATGGTTTTAAGTTACAATAAAAACGAATTGATCCTGGTGATTAGCTTGGTATAGCGTGTCTATCGTGTAGGTATCAACTCGTTCGTTAAGTATCGCGTGAGCAAGATTTTCTACCAACAAAAAAAAAAAAAAATCAACATTGTATCTGAACACTGTAACAACTAAACATACAACTCAAGTACAACACACCCGACACTGGCAAAGTCTCCTATTATAGATGTATCACAAAACCCAACCCATTATTTCACAAAATCCCAGCCTAGTTATATTACAAAACCCCAATATTTGGTTTACTACAAAACCCCAATATCTGGTATATTACAAAACCCCAATATTAGTTATATCATGAAAACCGCTTGCTTTAAATTATTTACCCCCAACCCTAGTATATTATAAAACCCTTGTTATATACAAAAAAAACCAACCCTAGTTACAGTTATATCACAAATCTTCCAATAATCCAACTTTTCTATAAAATACAACATATCACATCTGGTTTGGTAAATATGAACTTCAGACAACATATCACATATTGTTTGGTATCACAATGACTAGCTCTACTGCCATCACAAAAGTAGATGAAATGTCTGTGTATCACATTGCTGAAAAGTGTACAATCACAACCATTGAACAACCACCAACATAACAACCACGAGTTGCAGAAAAAATCCAACAACCCGTAGCATCACAACCACAATTGGCAACCTTATTGAACAACCCTGAATATCACAACTACAATTGGCAACCATATTGAATAACACTGAATATCACAACCCCATTGACAACCAACATTAAAGTTGGAATTCTACAAGCTACACAAATGTTTTTCTAAAAGTAGGACACTTTATTTGAATGTGGCACAATTGCGGACATATATTACTAATTAAACCTTCAAAAAATACCATTCACTTTATCAATATCTTATCCAATGCTCACTAAAATCTGAAAAAAAAATATTTTGTTTGTTTGTTGGTTTTATACAAGTTTGAAAAAAAAATAGCAGTGTGGTTTGTATATATTATACTATTATAATTTAGCGAAATATGTAATAGATGACTTTGTATATATGATATGACCAGAGGCGTATCCAGGTTTTCGTTGTAGGGGGAGCGAAAAGAGCAAAAAAGGCGCCGAATTTTTAACACGCTATATATACGTATATACGTATATATATATATATATATATATATATATATATATATATATATATATATATATATATATATATATATATATATATATATATATATATATAATTACTAGCTGTATGTCATTACTTCGCTATGATGTAAAAGTAGCACTCTGAAGAAATAAGAAAAAACACACAATATAGGCCGACAAAACAAAAATTTTATCAATCTAAACAAATATATATATATATATATATATATATATATATATATATATATATATATATATATATATATATATATATATATATATATATATATATATATATACACTACAACCAAAAACAATGAACGTAACACAATCTATTTTGTAATTTTTGTAAAAAAAAAAAACTTTCTTACATAATAATTCCTAGGAAATTATTTAAGACAAGTGAAATTGGGGAAATAATCAATCTCTTAATATAAAGATGTATATATCTGCACATTTAATTACAAATGTCAAAACAAATAAATAATTACTTTAGAATATAGTGAAATTGCTTAAGACTATTCGTGTTTACAAAATACTTTTGTCTATAATCAAAATTTAATATATCGTCATCATATTCTAAAGTATTACAGCATAATGAAATTTTTTAAAATCAGAGTTGGTATAAAACCACGCTTTTCGACATAATAGACAATATTCGGAATAACAGCCTACATTTAACTAAATATTGGTCTTTTTAGTTCAGATCATATGTTTTTAATTAACTACTGCTTCTTTGTGTTCTTTATAGATCATTTTTTAACATAGTGATAGGTATGGGTTAGATCACTGTATTGATCACACACCTATTTACTGGTATTTGCAAAAACAATATTCACAGTTTTACGTTTAAAAAGCTAATTTTCTGGCGGCATGGTACTTTGGTACATCATTACGCGTTTTTCTACATGTACTTAACAGATCAGTTCGGGGTGGGTTGGGGAGGAGGGGTTCAACTTCATTCACCACTGTCCGTTCACTTTATCTCAATTATCCAACCCAGTGTATACCTAGGTGTGACATTTATGTCGCTCTACACAATTGTGGTGGTGAGGTGTGTGTATGGGGGGGGGGGAGATAACCAACTCAGCGTGAACATAACGTCAGTTTTTAGATGACTGTTTTAAACATACATATATATTACACAAATATATATTACAGAAATAGATTTAAATAAGTAGCAGTGGTATTATGACAATATTTTTTTACAGAGGGGTCCATGGGGGAGGGGGGGGGGGGTTGTAACTGTTTCATATTATTTGTAATCGTAATCACTATCGCCCAAACTGTAAGAATACTACTACGTTGTTGACCTTGTCAAAATTTCCCCACACGATTGCTCATAAGTAAATTTAAATAGAGGTGCCACATCAGTTGTATTTGTTTCTGTATTGTAATTATTTTATACTAATCACACGATTCAAACTGTATATATAAAGTAATTATGTGTGAAGTTTTATGTATAACAGTTTCTAATTTAATTATTCGTCAGCAAATACATTATACAATTGCCTTAAACTTAACACCCCTCTTGCCAAGTGGTACTACCGTAGAGGTTTTTTAAACATTGCAATGCATCGTAATGGTTATTTTTAGAATGGCAAACTGATGCAGCTGTTAATACGTGTTGTAAACGTAGACACTACTAGACTAGTACAATAATGCTTGATTGCTGCATGAAAAGAAATCTTGTGATTTACATAGATGTGCCGACCAAAAATATTTTATTAACAAATATCATAGTTTAAAACTTTGAGTTTAAAAAGTTTCCAAAAAGGCGCCACTTTGCTGAGGATGGCCAGAGGGGGAGCGGCCGCTCCCCCTGCTCCCCCCCTGCGTACGCTACTGGATATGACATCTGGTTCTATTCTTGACATGATTTTGAAGTTATTGGGCGATTATTTTTTCAGACATACCACACGCAACTGATCCTGAAATCTATTGATGTACTACGCCAGTTAAATCATATGTGCTATATAAATCACATCTATATATGTAAAATGCTTATTTACAAATGTGAGGGACATGCCGACCTAAAGAATACACGGTTTAACCGCCGACCAAAGGAATACAAGGTTTAACTGTCGACTTTAAGAATACACCGTTTAACTGTTTAACTATTGTGGAACAGCCACTATGAAAGCCTAACATTGGAGTGTGTGTTCAACTATGGATTGTTGGCAGTAGACTGTCAGTAAACTGTGAGTAGGCTGTCGGTAGGATGTCAGTAGGATGTCAGTAGACTGTCAGTAGACTGTCAGTAGACTGTCAGTAGACTGTCAGTAGACTGTCAGTAGACTGTCAGTAGACTGTCAGTAGACTGTCAGTATACTGTCAGTAGACTGTCAGTAGACTGTCAGTAGACTGTCAGTAGACTGTCAGTAGACTGTCAGTAGACTGTCAATAAACTATCAGTAGACCGTCAGTAGACTGTCAGTAGACTGTCAGTAGACTGTCAATAAACTATCAGTAGACCGTCAGTAGACTGTCAGTAAGTTGGCAGTAGACTTTCAGTAGCCTGTCAGTAGGCTGTCAGTAGGCTGACAATGGACTGTCAGTAAGTTGGCAGTAGACTGACAGTAACAACCGACCCAAGTAAAAAAATGAGACAATTGTTTTCACACACATTGCAGATCTAGAAACACAACGAGCAAGACGTGTTTTGTGATAGATGATACCAGTCCTTGCAAAGTTTGGCCAGAAACGTCTTCATATTTTAACAGTCAGTTGTGCTCCAATTTGTTGTTGTATAGAGTAGTAGACTGAACCACGTAAGTAAAGAACTTTACTAAGCAAGATAGCGTTGGTATATTTAAGATATAAAACTAACATAACAACTGCATAACTTGTAAATTGTATTTTGTTTTAGGAAATGTATGACATGTTATGTATATATATACATATATATATATATATATATATATATATATATATATATATATATATATATATATATATATATATATATATATATATATATATATATATATATATATATATATATATATACTTATGTCTGTGTGTGAGAGCGTGTGCAGCCTACAGGTAGAAGATTAATGCGTGCACTTGACATAGATGGCAGGTATAAAATAGATTGAAGTGACCTTTGAAGAAATCGATCTAGCACATTTGTAGTCGGCCCGCACACGGACTGTCAGCCGCCTGGTAACTTGAAAGCAAACAGCAATAGGGCGGACGAGAATGGGATGTGACGTTACAAGCGGGCCGTCTCCTAGCGGCCTGTGCTGATTGAAGCTATATGTCAGTCTCCAACTGGCTGAAATGTCAGTGGAAGTCCAAGAAGTCAAGTGACATTCACAAATACAAAATCAATTGATGCGGCTCTAGTTTATTGAATATATATCGACTGCTTACAGGCAGGCAATATATACGTTTTTGATAAAGCAGGCTATATATCAGCTTTTGATATAGCAGGCATTATATCGGCTCTTGATACGCTTCTGTATACCAACCACTTTATTCAGTATATCAAAGTATATCAAAATATATTCTTAAGATGACAGCTATTTTTGTTTAGTTCACAGCGAATTTTTGCTTCAAAGATTCGATTTATTTCGATATTAATATTTAGATTATAGGTTAACTCTTTTCTTTTTTTCAAAAACTAGTAAACAGTTATAAAAAGAACTGTTTAGTACATCAGCATCAAATGTGTAATTAACGCTATGAAGCACATACGAACAGATCGGTGTAGACTGACTCCTACAAATGCCACATCAGAAGCCCCACGCCGAGACCAGAGTATCAAAAGTATAAAAATAAAAAGCGAATTTGAAAATATCGACACTACAACACGTAATCTAACACCAAAACTCTAAACTTGAATGACTACGTGTGATTCTAGACACATATTCTGTGGACAATCACTGGCACGCACAGTTTGAGACTAAATGCCGAATTATCTACCCATGGTACGATTAAAATGACTTGCAAATAGAAAAAAAAAAACGATTAAAAAACTGGACATATGTACAATATAAACATCAAGCTCATTCTAGGCCATCATGTTTCTGACAGACCCACATTCTGGGCCACCAGACGTGTGACAAACCAAAATCTGGGCCACCAGACCCACATTCTGGGCCACCAGACCTACAATCTGGGCCATCTGACGTCCGACAGACCCACAATGTGGGCCATCAAATGGAGATTGGCCCCCGAAAATTGTGCACATTTTAAATCAAGTTATTTTATAAAAACATTTTTGTAAGTTAAAAAAATACAGCGTAAAAAAGAAACGAAATAATTATATTCCGCTTCTAAAGTTTCCGTTCCTCTCTAGACAGAGAATGACCAGTGCATGCGGACAGTGCCACCATCATCAAATGTTCATTGTCCACTTTACTCCCAGCATGCACTGACTCGCTGGGTATGTTGTCTGCCCAACTTTCAGTTCTGTCTTAACTTCCCTCCCCTGTGTTGGTCCCGCTATATGAGATATCTATGTCATATGAGCCCGTGTTGACGTGATTTGATCTTGGACTAGAGCCGTTGAATGAAGAGTGCGGGGGCGGAAGAGCATCGCCTACACGGGCGTGGTCTCCTGCTGCTGACCGTTGGGCACCTTCTCCATCTCGTGAGACTCGTGCTCCAGGGGCGGCATCTCGTCCACGGAGTAATGGTTGACGATCCCGGCCCCCAGGCTATCCCCCATCACGTTGGTCATGGTGCGGAACCTGTCCCTGGAAGAAGAAATTTGATCAGGTTTAAACAGATTTCTATTAGGATCACTGAGCTAATTCATACAGCTGGTTGTTGAACTAAGTAACTTCAAGCTAAAATATATGTAGGCTAAACTGTTCTAAAACATAAAATCGTGCAAGTGCTGTTCGCCGTTATTGACCAAGAATATCTGGTCAAAGTGCTAGAGACAGTCGGTGACCAAAATTATCTGGTCCATGTGCTAGAGACAGTCGGTGACCAAAATTATCTGGTCCATGTGCTAGAGACAGTCGGTGACCAAAATTATCTGGTCCAAGTGCTAGAGACAGTTGGTAACCAAGATTTATTTCTACAAAACCTATTGGCATTCCCCCCCCCCCCCCCACTGCAAGCATCAATAATTTCTTACTTCCGCTGCCAACGGCCGCAGGGCTTGAAACTTTTTCCTCCCGTGCAGGACATTATTGCCTCTCCCCCGTATTGCCTCTCCCCCCTCCCACAGGACTTAAAGCAACCTCACTGCCCCACTAGATATTGGCTGTATACAACATAGCGTTAGCTTCAATGTTAATCCCCAACTGGTGTCTCTCAATATAGGAATGTCCTAGTCTAAAATGCGTTTAATGCTGCTAACAGTAAAAATGTGCACAAAGTTTTAATGTATATAAGTGTGATGTAATTTGTAAATTTGTCATGCTTATATGGATACCCATAATAATAAACGTTGCATTTGGCTTACAAATTTACTGTTATTAATTTAGGCAATTACCACCTCATATTTTTTTATGTTACGTCGTCCATTTGAATATCAGATGCCCCACACTGATAACACCTTCGTCCCCGATTTGATTGGCCCTGCCTCTGTCAATTATTTACATGCTTATCTCCCATATCATACATTCTCATCAACATTCATTAACACTCAACTAGCAGGAAAAAACAGGACTTGGCTATTAAACCATTAAACTGATGAATCTTAGCTTGCCTTGGGCGTCTGACCGTCCATGCAGCTGAGTCTACTAGTCAGCCGTCCATTTAGTTTATTCTACTGTATACCCGTCAGTCAGCCGTCCATTTAGTTTATCCTACTGTATTCTAGCCTGTCAGTCAGCCGTCCATTTAGTTTATCCTACTGTATTCTGATCAATTAGTCAGCCGTCCATTTAGTTTATCCTACTGTATTCTGATCAATTAGTCAGCCGTCCATTTAGTTTATCCTACTGTATTCTGATCAATTAGTCAGCCGTCCATTTAGTTTATCCTACTGTATTCTAACCTGTCAGTCAGCCGTCCATTTAGTTTATTCTACTGTATTCTGACCTGCCAGTCAGCCGTCCATACATCTGAATCTACTGTATTCTGACCTGTCATCTAGCCGTCCATACATCTGAATCTACTGTATTCTAACCTGCCAGTCAGCCGTCCATACATCTGAATCTACTGTATTCTAACCTGCCAGTCAGCCGTCCATACATCTGAATCTGCGCTTATCGTCCGTCCGTTGCTCGCCAGCCCCATAGAGCCCACAGAGATAGCGTGCTCAGGACCAATAACCCCTGACGCCCGCGGCTTCTCTCCCCTTATATTCTAACAGAGACCGACACCCGCATTGGAGCGCTCGAGTCAAATTATTGACAGTACAGCCGGAGTTATTTCCCTGTACATAGTTCTATGATAGCAGAGAGTTGTCTGAGCTTGTCCTCCATAATTCTGACTCACGCACTTGCCAAATACTTAATACCAGGGGCGGTTACCGCTTGAGTGGAGAGTGGGGGGGGGGGGGGTGCAAGGGATATGACATTTTTAATTTGTATATTTTTCAAAATGTTAAGAGAGTGGTTTGAAAGTTACATTTAAATTTTAATATTTTGGTTGGAGGATATTTCGCTAAATTTTTTTTTTAACAGGAACATGTTCTAATTAGATATCAAACAGTCGCTTAGTTTAACTAAAGAGCCTTTTATAAGTGACTAAAGTCTTGAGCTGGCGACTTCTGTACGGTACCGTCCTAATGTATCCAGGACAAGATAGTATATAGACACAAGTTTGCTGTATTTTTCTCAACAATATTTAGCGAGAAGTCAACTTTAGTGATACATCCGCCAATTATCAATTTCATCAATCGATAAAGATGTATTTGATCTCTTTAATCACACACGCACACACACACACACACACACACACACAAATCAAATATGTTGATAAATTAATGTATCGTCTACTTTGATGGACCTGTTAATAATGGAATTGAAACAGATGCTCAAATTATTATTATTTTTTCCTTTTTTCCCCCACATGAATGAATGCTTTAAAATTGCACGTAGAACAATGCCATAATACATTTTAAACTGCACTTTATGTAGCCGTTTAAAAGTCTCCTGACCAGGACAATTGGCTAATTTATAGCCCACACAATCGCTTCTGTTCCCCAACACTACACGAGAATAACTCGAAAACTGTTATGGACGAAATTCTGTGCTGTTCCAAAGCCAGTGGAAAAATCCAGAAACCAACGTTTTGTTTGTTTGTCTGTTGACCCGTACCATTGGTTGAGTTTGCTGTTTGTTGATCTCCCACGTTAGCTTCCATTACTGACGTAGTTGACCCCACCCCGGGGTCGATTCGGCCCTTCCGTCTCCTCAACCCTGAGCCCCCTTCGCCTAATGCCGTCTGCTCCGTGAATGGAGTAGAGTTTACGGTGGTCACATCGGGACCTCGATCAAGTTCTCCGACATCCCCACAAGCGACATCAATCAATAGAAACATTTCTCTGTAATGGAGGCCGCATCTTTTCACTCACTGCCTGCTTTTATCAGGAGAGCCATCCAGCCTTTCTCACTGTGGCGGCTCTCTGTTGATTACACAAGGCAGGCACCCCCACCCCCATCAACCCGCCTGCCGAGGATAGAGGCTGGTGTGGACACAGCTCTTAAGGAACTGGTTGCAAACACAGCTTACAGCTCCAGTTCAAAGGTTGGCGTGGACACAGCTCCAGTACAAAGGTTGGCGTGGACACAGCTCCAGTACAAAGGTTGGCGTGGACACAGCTTCAGTACAAAGGTTGGCGTGGACACAGCTTACAGCTCCAGTACAAAGGTTGGCGTGGACACAGCTCCAGTACAAAGGTTGGCGTGGACACAGCTCCAGTACAAAGGTTGGCGTGGTCACAGCTTACAGCTCCAGTTCAAAGGTTGGCGTGGACATAGCTCTTGTACAAAGGTTGGCGTGGACACAGCTCCAGTACAAAGGTTGGCGTGGACACAGCTCCAGTACAAAGGTTGGCGTGGTCACAGCTTACAGCTCCAGTTCAAAGGTTGGCGTGGACACAGCTTCAGTACAAAGGTTGGCGTGGACACAGCTCCAGTACAAAGGTTGGCGTGGACACAGCTCCAGTACAAAGGTTGGCGTGGACACAGCTTACAGCTCCAGTACAAAGGTTGGCGTGGACACAGCTCCAGTACAAAGGTTGGCGTGGACACAGCTTACAGCTCCAGTACAAAGGTTGGCGTGGACACAGCTTACAGCTCCAGTACAAAGGTTGGCGTGGACACAGCTCCAGTACAAAGGTTGGCGTGGACACAGCTTACAGCTCCAGTACAAAGGTTGGCGTGGACACAGCTCCAGTACAAAGGTTGGCGTGGACACAGCTTACAGCTCCAGTACAAAGGTTGGCGTGGACACAGCTCCAGTACAAAGGTTGGCGTGGACACAGCTTACAGCTCCAGTACAAAGGTTGGCGTGGACACAGCTTACAGCTCCAGTACAAAGGTTGGCGTGGACACAGCTTACAGCTCCAGTACAAAGGTTGGCGTGGTCACAGCTTACAGCTCCAGTACAAAGGTTGGCGTGGACACAGCTCCAGTACAAAGGTTGGCGTGGTCACAGCTTACAGCTCCAGTACAAAGGTTGGCGTGGACACAGCTCCAGTACAAAGGTTGGCGTGGTCACAGCTTACAGCTCCAGTACAAAGGTTGGCGTGGACACAGCTCCAGTACAAAGGTTGGCGTGGACACAGCTTACAGCTCCAGTACAAAGGTTGGCGTGGACACAGCTCCAGTACAAAGGTTGGCGTGGACACAGCTTACAGCTCCAGTACAAAGGTTGGCGTGGACACAGCTTACAGCTCCAGTACAAAGGTTGGCGTGGACACAGCTCCAGTACAAAGGTTGGCGTGGACACAGCTTACAGCTCCAGTACAAAGGTTGGCGTGGTCACAGCTTACAGCTCCAGTACAAAGGTTGGCGTGGACACAGCTCCAGTACAAAGGTTGGCGTGGTCACAGCTTACAGCTCCAGTACAAAGGTTGGCGTGGACACAGCTCCAGTACAAAGGTTGGCGTGGTCACAGCTTACAGCTCCAGTACAAAGGTTGGCGTGGACACAGCTCCAGTACAAAGGTTGGCGTGGACACAGCTCCAGTACAAAGGTTGGCGTGGACACAGCTCCAGTACAAAGGTTGGCGTGGACACAGCTCCAGTACAAAGGTTGGCGTGGACACAGCTTACAGCTCCAGTACAAAGGTTGGCGTGGACACAGCTTACAGCTCCAGTACAAAGGTTGGCGTGGACACAGCTTACAGCTCCAGTACAAAGGTTGGCGTGGACACAGCTCCAGTACAAAGGTTGGCGTGGACACAGCTTACAGCTCCAGTACAAAGGTTGGCGTGGTCACAGCTTACAGCTCCAGTACAAAGGTTGGCGTGGACACAGCTCCAGTACAAAGGTTGGCGTGGACACAGCTTACAGCTCCAGTACAAAGGTTGGCGTGGTCACAGCTTACAGCTCCAGTACAAAGGTTGGCGTGGACACAGCTCCAGTACAAAGGTTGGCGTGGACACAGCTTACAGCTCCAGTACAAAGGTTGGCGTGGACACAGCTCCAGTACAAAGGTTGGCGTGGACACAGCTCCAGTACAAAGGTTGGCGTGGTCACAGCTTACAGCTCCAGTACAAAGGTTGGCGTGGACACAGCTCCAGTACAAAGGTTGGCGTGGACACAGCTTACAGCTCCAGTACAAAGGTTGGCGTGGACACAGCTCCAGTACAAAGGTTGGCGTGGACACAGCTCCAGTACAAAGGTTGGCGTGGACGCATGTCTAACACACGTACATTTTTTACATAGAGATATACATGAACACACGTCTAACACATGTACAATTGTTACATGAAAATATCATACATAGACACATGTCTAACATAACTACCGTACGTGGACTCATCACTAAAATGTGCGAACTAAAACAATACGTCAACAAATTAGACTGGCGATTGTACTTAACTCACCAACCAGATACCAGTAACTAGTCACAATGGCAGTTTTTCTATACGTACGCCATAATTATTATTTTGTATCCCCACGCGCAGAACAGCAATTTATGACCAAAAATTGATTACACTAAAATTAAATTAACTCCGACTTAGAGGAAAACAATTAACAGTAAATACCATTTTCAGTAATTTTGTTTTAAAGGAAAAAAATACTCACAGGAACCAATCAACGACGAGGATCAGCGTGACGTCATCAATAGGAAGTCCGACCGCAGCCAGAACGATCACCATGGTAACAAGACCAGCTTGAGGAACGCCTGCCGCTCCAACTGAAGCCGCTGTGGCCGTTATGCTGAAAAATGGAAGAAACATTTGGTCAGATAAGTTTTAATCAGAGTTTCCCCCCCCCCCCCCCCCGAAAATTTTTTACCGCCCCCCCGAACGAAATGAAATTTATATAATTTATATAGAAAATATATACTTTTAACAGTGTCCGCCCCCCCGAAGAAAGTTTACCGCCCCCCCCCCCCCGAAGATTTCAAGTGCCCCCCCGGAGAAAAAAGTCTGGAAGAAACACTGGTTTTAATAGTGCTGAGTCGGGCTCAGTCCGAATCAAATCGCGCAACCTTTGCTGGTATTGTCACAATAATCAACCTCAGCTTATATTTTCAAGTACGCACTCATTGCACTTATATGTAACATAATCCTTAGGTATTACGTAATTATTTATGTATAGAGATAGTTATATAGATGAGAATTCTCTTGACTTTGTCCGCTGTTCTCAGATATCACTCATAAGATAAATTACCTTCAATACATATCGATCTACCAAGTCCACTTGCCTATGAGAGTTTGAGTAGAGTTGATAGTAAAAGTTGGATTTGTAAAAACTGTGTTTTTCGAGGCTATGGAATAATTCTTCACAAGCTGCTATTACCTACTAGCAAGTCCACTTGAAGGAACATAAAATTTACCATTTTATTCGGCTGTTCAGCTGAGCGAAAGCAAGTCACGTTATATCAGGAAAATCTAAAATGCCATTCATGATAAAAAAAATCCTTACATTTCTTCAAGGAACTCAACAGACCAAAAAACAGAACATTAAGCCATGGTGACAATATTTGTCCTTTAATAAAACTGGACAAATAGAGCGACATTCAAATCTAGAGACGGACAACAATGTCCATCAATGACTTCGCCGAAGTCTCACAAAAATGTATCGATTTATTGATCAGCTTTTTAAAAAAAATGATCCGAATATTAGAAAAATCTGGCTCTACAGCCCGCCAAGGAGAAAAGATAACAAAAAATTGTTTGCCGTGTTGGAAAGTAAAGATTGTAGCCGGCAGAGAGAAGAGATCAGTCCACGGCAGGCTATTTCCTCCGGCGTCTATCCGGCTATTTTACTGTTAGTTGTGGTAAAGGATGTAAAACTACCAGCTATTTTAATGCTACCAACATTTAACTGTTAAAACAACAGTTTAAAACGTATCATTGGCTTTTAAACCTTTCCAGCTTGTTATAGCAATTAGTTTTCTAATTTTTTCAAATGTTTAGTTCTACAATATTTTACATGATAGTGGCTATAACACGGTATTTATGAACATTGTGTTTTTCAACCTGTAACAATAAGATGGTTTGTTTACATTTTATATTTTTATTGTCATTAGCGAGTACTGGCATAAATGTGTGCATCAGTACGTGTGGTGATGTAGAAAGGTTCTCAATGTCCATGATCTTTGTGATCAGACCAGTTCTGGAAATAGCTGATGATCTTTGTGACTAGAAATATTTTAGACATTGATGATCTTTGTGAATAGACACGTTTTAGACAGTGATGATCTTTGTGAATAGACACGTTTTAGACATTGATGATCTTTGTGAATAGACACGTTTTAGACAGTGATGATCTTTGTGAATAGACACGTTTTAGACATTGATGATCTTTGTGAATAGACACGTTTTAGACATTGATGATCTTTGTGACTAGCGAAGTTTTAGGCAGTGATGATCTTTGTGAATAGCGAAGTTTTAGACATTGATGATTTTTGTGACTAGCGAAGTTTTAGACATTGATGATCTTTGTGACTAGCGAAGTTTTAGAGATTGATGATTTTTGTGACTAGCAAAGTTTTAGACATTGATGATTTTTGTGACTAGCGAAGTTTTAGACATTGATGATCTTTGTGACCAGACAAGTTCTAGACTCTAGACAGATGAAACCAGTTGGCGACGAATCTAATCTTCCACTACCCAACCACCAGCCCATAGGTTTGATATCCTCAACAATAAGACCCACACTGACCAATCACTGTTACAGAAATTCATCTCTCTCTGGACGACATATTTGATGATCATAGTGAGACAGGCGCCGATAATCTGCCAACCAAGTGCCGTTTTCATCCAACCACGGACATTTGACCAACTTTATCGCTGGTCGTAACAACCCAGATTTTTGTTTTATTGTATAAGGCAGGGCCGTCTGGAGTAGTATAGGACAGGGTGCCATAAGTCAGGGCCGTCTGGAGTAGTATAGGACAGGGTGCCATAAGTCAGGGCCGTCTGGAATAGTATAGGACAGGGTGCCATAAGTCAGGGCCGTCTGGAGTAGTATAGGACAGGGTGCCATAAGTCAGGGCCGTCTGGAATAGTATAGGACAGGGTGCCATAAGTCAGGGCCGTCTGGAGTAGTATAGGACAGGGTGCCATAAGTCAGGGCCGTCTGGAATAGTATAGGACAGGGTGCCATAAGTCAGGGCCGTCTGGAATAGTATAGGACAGGGTGCCATAAGTCAGGGCCGTCTGACATAGTATAGGACAGGGTGCTATAAGTCAGGGCCGTCTGGAATAGTATAGGACAGGGTGCCAATATCCCAGAAAGAATACTGTATGAGTAACCTGTTTTAGATTTACTGGTCTGCGGGTTACGTGTGGGTTACCTGCGGGTTACCTGTTGTGTTAGAGGTACCAGAGAGAAGTAGCAGTGGACTTATGTTCAGTGCACTCAACAATTGAGCTACGTGCTCAGGCTCGCATGTGGAGCACCATGGGTAGCAGAAGATTTGCCGTCCAATTTATCAGCAACAAACTGTGGACCCTATTAAAGCTTAATCTACCGGGTGATAACAATGTTCTGTGAACGACTCCATGCTTCGTTGTCTGTTGAACTTAACATGTCATGTAATGTGTTAGTGCCAAATTTAAAAACAAAAAACTAACACTGTGGTTGCTGTCATATAACCATCGTGTTTGCTGCCGGATGGCGAAACAAAGTAGAACTAGAACACGTCACTTCCGATAACTTTATTTGGCCTAAGGACCTGGGATCTTTGGTTTCACCCTCCGTTATTTTATTTTCTAAACAACGCGTCATTCAATACAAGGAAATAATTTAACTGCGGCTTTTGGTGTCCTGGAATAAACCGAATTAGAGAAATGTATTTTCTGTGGTGGGATTGGGGGGGGGGGGGGGGGAGTTCCCTTATTACACTCAGCAAGAACAGACATTGTTGCCCTCGGTAAACTTGTGATTGTTAGACATTGTTGCCCTCTGTAAACTTGTGATTGTTAGACATTGTTGCCCTCTGTAAACTTGTAATTGTTAGACATTGTTGCCCTCGGTAAACTTGTAATTGTTAGACATTGTTGCCCTCTGTAAACTTGTAATTGTTAGACATTGTTGCCCTCGGTAAACTTGTAATTGTTAGACATTGTTGCCCTCTGTAAACGTGTGTTTGTTAGACATTGTTGCCCTCTGTAAACTTGTGATTGTTAGACATTGTTGCCCTCTGTAAACTTGTGATTGTTAGACATTGTTGCCCTCTGTAAACTTGTAATTGTTAGACATTGTTGCCCTCGGTAAACTTGTAATTGTTAGACATTGTTGCCCTCTGTAAACTTGTAATTGTTAGACATTGTTGCCCTCGGTAAACTTGTAATTGTTAGACATTGTTGCCCTCTGTAAACTTGTAATTGTTAGACATTGTTGCCCTCTGTAAACTTGTAATTGTTAGAGATTGTTGCCCTCTGTAAACGTGTGTTTGTTAGACATTGTTGCCTTATGTAACTAGAAACGTTGTTGCCTTCTGTGTACGTCTGCTACACAGGACTTTTTGCCTTCTATCCGAACGAAAGTTACGGCAGCTACATAGTATTGTGAAATATATCGCCCCCCCCCCACCCTTCACGTTCGTTCAACATAATCTCATTACTTCAGGGTTTGGGGTCCAGTAATCAAAGGAAACACTGACAGGTGTATTGTTCGTCTGTCATATGACTGGACAGACAGCTGGACAGACAAGTGGACAGACAAGTAGACAGACAAGTGGACAGACAACTAGACAAACAGACAACGGCACAGACAAATGGACAGACAAATGGACAGACAACTGGACAGACAAGTGGACAGACAAGTGGACAGACAACTAGACAAACAGACAACTGGACAGACAAATGGACAGACAACTGGAGGACAAGTGGACAGACAACTGGACAGACAACTGGACAGACAACTAGACAGACAGAAAACTAGACAGACAAGTGGACAGACAACTAGACAAACAGACAACGGCACAGACAAATGGACAGACGAATGGACAGACAAGTGGACAGACAAGTGGACAGACAACTAGACAAACAGACAACGGCACAGACAAATGGACAGACAAATGGACAGACAAGTGGACAGACAAGTGGACAGACAACTAGACAGACAGAAAACTAGACGGACAACGAGACAGACAACTAGACAGACAACTAGACAGACAGAAAACTAGACGGACAACTGGACAGACAACTAGACAGACAGACAACTAGACAGACAGAAAACTAGACGGACAACTAGACAGACAACGAGACAGACAACTGGACAGACAACTAGACAGACAGACAACTAGACAGACAACTGGACAGACAACTGGACAGACAACTAGACAGACAGACAACTAGACAGACAGAAAACTAGACGGACAACTGGACAGACAACGAGACAGACAACTAGACAGACAGACAACTAGACAGACAACTGGACAGACAACTGGACAGACAACTAGACAGACAGAAAACTAGACGGACAACTGGACAGACAACGAGACAGACAACTAGACAGACAGACAACTGGACAGACAACTGGACAGACAACGAGACAGACAACGAGACAGACAACTAGACAGACAATCGGACGGACGTAAGCCATAATTAGATTCCCGCTTCTCTCGTCTGAGCCTGGAAGGCCAACATGAACGTCGGGCCAGCGAAGATTGGCCATGCGGCCATGCGGGGAAACACAATAAGCGGCCACTTTACGGCCATACATTCCACGTCTCTATCTAATTAATTGGCCACAATAATCAA